CTTCATCTTGGCCCCCCTATGGGCAATGAAGGCTCGGCAGCAATGCAACATGAGATCAATGTTCACTGATAAAAGCCATGCCAGATCCAGCGGCCACAAAAGAAATCACAGCCCTTCAGTTGCGACGAAAGCCGAAGCAAGCCAACTCGAAGCACCCTGGCGTCCCTTGTCAATTTAAGCAGTTCCTTGTAAGAGCTATGGTTGTGTGATTTCTTTAGTGGACATGTTTCTGTTTCTCAGTGTAAAGGAGATGTAGTCTTGTACATGAAAGAATGTTCGCAGATGAAATTAACATTAAGAACCCGACGACACGGGTCGGCAACCTGTGGCCTCCAGGCACTCCTTGTCTCATTCCAACCTGTCGATAAGATTGAGAGGCAAACAACTTGTTTGTTTGATTTGTAAGTCTGTATTCTCTACACATCATATTATTAATTCATGATAAAATTCTTACTAATTAATATGCTTTATCATTATTTCTTCCATCTGTTAGCTGTAGAGATGGATGCGGCCATCCACCACCTCTGGCCCTTAAGTGGAACAGGGTGCCGACCCCTGCCCAGTAGGCTATCATAAACTGTCCAACAATCTGATCTTCTATTTTCGTCAATTCGTAAGAAGCGTTATTGTACTCTTCATCAATAATCTACCTCACATTTTTCATATCTGCTGCTGCGGGAAATCAGTTTACGCCTGTGATTAGACTTAGTAAACTGTAAACGTTTTGAAATTGTTGAGACAGTGTAATCATCCTCCTCTTTTTCAACCGTAACCGTCGTCTTTCCAGACCTGATCTACCACGCCCCCGAGTCCAGCACGTCGACGGAGCCCTCGCCCATCCTGGAGCGGAAGTCCTTCCCCCGCAAGAGCGACGGGAACAAGATGGGTCGCGGCGGGGCCTTCCAGGGGCGCGGCCTCAGCAAGATGGTGGCCAGCATCAGGGGCGGCACTCAGGAGACCTCCCTCTCCTTCCCCAAGGCCGGCCACGCCTCCGACTCCAAGAGCTCGGACGACGGCAAGTACGGCTTCGCGCGGCAGATCACTCCGCCCGTGGGATTCTCCAGCAGCCACAACGAGCTCTCGGAGGCGGAGTGCGACCTGGAGATGAGGCGGAGGAACAAGGAGGCCGAGGCCGCTGCGTACGTGGGGCACTCCAGGTCGCAGTTCAGGTCCTACGTGTCCGGCAAGGAGAAGGACTACAGCATCAAGGTGTGATAGGTTTGGCAAGGACAACATGCACTTCATATATCTCATGAAAATAGTTCTATGAACATACGAACTGACCAGAACTACGTGTTTTAGGGTCAACGTTTCCAGTGTGTTTATCTTAACATTGTGTAAATGTGTAAATCTGTTTAGACATGAGATTAAACTCTATGTTTCTCTGTAAATGGCTGAAATGATTGCTAAAGTCAGTAAGCTGTCTGGTGGAGATATCAGAGTGCTACTAGAGATGATTTTACAATATTATTTATTTTCACTGAATCTACAACGAGAATATTGTTTGTTAACTTTCTGATGGAGAATGAGAAATTTATCTATAGATTTAACGTTTATGAATAATGTGTAAGTGTCATTTTTATGAAGTGACAATAGTCTTAAAACTTTTTTTAAACAAATTAGGAGAGAAATATATCTATATCGCTAACAAATAATTAAAACCAAATAAGACTGTTCATGCACTATGGATACATCACAGTTTATTTTCATTTTTCATGCCAGTATTGTAACAAACGTGATCAAACAGGATTCTTGTTTAGAGCAGACTTGTCATGCAGCGATTCTCTGGACGAGGTAATCAACTCGAAGTCCAATACCTTCATGCTCTGTGACAGCATCCCCATATTACTGCCAATTGCGAGGTGTTTCATTTCTTGTTTTTTCGTCTAATCAAATAAATCGCCATCTTTTATAAGCCAGTATGTTTGAATAAAAAATCTAGGATTTTCTCTTTATATGAGGGTGAGGCTTGGGCTTCACAATGTGAGGGAGGAAGCTTCAGCAACGTGCTCGAATATCTCCGCCAAACTCACCGTCTACCATTTCTAACAAGAAAGTCGGCTATATTTGTACTGGTGTCTGAATGTGTCCTCATAGACGTGGTGCCAACACTTATCATGATGTGTCTTTAGATACGAAAATCGTTGTTGAATGGAACCTTTATATGACTGTTTTTCTGTTATTTGTAAATGTGATTGGAATAGATGGAGTATTAATCTTTTATTTGATTGAAATTATTCAGAAAGTGTACATAATCTTTCCACATGCTCACTTGCAATGTAAATCAACGCTTTACAATGCAGGGTTTTTGGGACGAGACTGTTATGCGCTGCAACGCTGTTTTGACAAGTAGTTTGAAGGCCTGCTCAGTTGTTGTTTTCTATGGACAAAACGCGGACTAAAACCGTTCCCATAGGTTTGTGATTAAACTTCGCAGAAATATTCGTTGTGTCCCCGATCACTTCATCCAACTCTTGCTCGTAAGAGCTCATGGTCCCGCAGCCAGTTCGATGTTTCTGTGATACTGTATGATCCCCTCTGCACACAATATTATTTACAGTAAACATACACAGAGAGCTCCAAAACGTGATTGTTCTGTGATATGAACTACCAGCCCCACACACAATGTAAACACCATATTCCTCAAATTATTTGATACAGTTCTCTTTTATTCCAAAACTATACGTTGTCACTTTCAAGTTCAGTCACCGAAATTACCAACACTTCTAACAGCATGTAACCTTCATTTGCTACCCACATGAAGCTTGTGATCATGTGCAAAGTTTATCAGTGTAAATCTGACATTTTGTAATTAATAAATATAATCATTCGATTAATAGGTATTTTGCTTTATTAACCAAACCTTTAACAGAAAAGTTATATGTAAAGATATATTAGCAAACGTTATATGATTGTAATGCAACACCATATTTTTTTTCTCATATAAGATTTTATTTGTTACAGACAGCAGCCCTGTGCCAAAATGGGAGCTGCCTTTTACCTCCTCTTTCCTTCTCTTCCTCTCACCCTATGTATTTAACTCTTTCTTTTCCCTGTTCGCACAGTGTGCAACTAAGCTCACTAGAGGAGCACTGAGAAAGAAATTCATAACTGCCATTCAAAGGAGAGATCTAGTGCTTCCTATATTTTCTATTCTTCTTGATTTACTTTAGCTTCATCCGTTTCAATTTCCCTCCCCTTTTTGTCGCTTTCGCATATTCATTTAAAAGATACATTTTCGGCAATATTGTATTATATGTTTTTCTGCATAATTACTGTATTTTTCTGCGTATAAAAAAAATGACGAAAAAGTTCTTCTGTATTACATGAGGTTTTTAAGCATTTCTCTTTGCTATCTAAATTTTGTTTTTATTCACATTGTTCTAATTCATAACCACAAAAAAAAACTCGAACCTAGGTCACTCCAGGTATGGACCGAATGACCAGTATCCATATCAATGCGGCATTGTATTATTCTATCTCCCTTTGTATATATTCTCATATGCCGTATTAAGACCTTTCCTGAAAAAATACTGCAAAGCCCAAATCTGTTTACTTCTTTTGAATGTATTTTTGTACGTTTACCAAGATAAACTTTCTTCTTGCCAACATGGTAGTAGCAGCTTCTCCTTTGTATGGGTCCTTTGTTTTACTAAACAATTTCTACACAAGGTTTTCGTGTCACAAATTCACAGTTATTTGTAATCATTTATACCATACAAGTCGAGCTGATTCAACTCTAGATGATTCATGATTTACCGGATTTTCTTAGCAGCTGTTCATATGGAAGTCGAGTCCACTGAGTTAAACACAGGAGTACATCAATTTTATTCATCAGTCACAGTGGGTCAGCTGCGGTAACAGCAGCTAATCCATGCAAGTAGACAGTTATCTTAAGAATGCCCTGTAAATAATCCCAGGCGCCGTAGCCATGGAGATAGCTATTTGGTGACTATACTGTAGAAATAGGTTGTAGCTGAATTAGAATATACAGATAAGACAGTAGATTTGATCAATGTCAAGTATGCATAATAGGGGTTAACATTCTGGTTTGATACTTTCATCTGCACATAAGGATGTTAGAAACTGAACAACGTTGTGAGATGACCTAGCGATGGATGAAACTAGGTCTAAGATATCCCTGCAAGGAAGCCTCACAGACATCGGAGATTAACGGGAGGCCGAAGAAGTGAGAAAGCTGAATGCTTGACCCATGGCACCCAGAGGGAGTAAAGATGAGGGATACGAGCTTTCGCATAGTGGTGCCATCCATGTAAGAAGAATTGGGGTGTTACTCCCAAGAGACCTAATGGAAGCTGTGGTAGAAATCTGGCGAAGGTCTTTAACGAAACTATAAATCCGAGGCTAAACTATGACCAGTGCACTCTTCAGATATGTAATACTTATGCACTCCAATTGGGAGGTGCAAGTGAAGAAAAGGATTATGTCTGGAGTACATTGGGAATAGCAGAAGGGTAATTATTACAATGGTTAAGTTGGGAATGAGAACAAAAGGACTAAGAGGATGCATGGGACACACAGATGAGATCTCATAACTTGGAAGGAGAAAAGGCAGTTCATTTGACATGGTTGTTTCGTTACCTTGTCCGCAAATGCTGAACACGAAAGGAGAATGACCGCTAACTAAACTAATGTTAAGGGAGAAGTTCTACAAAAATAAGAACCGAAAATTATCCTGGAGAAAAAAACAAAATCATATATAAACGGAGCCAAGAGAGAAACCAAACTGAAGCAACCAAACTGTTACAGAGCAATAAGAATGAAACTATAGACCTTAAAGAGACAGAAGAACGGGGGCAACATAATGCAAAATTGATATAAGAATGATGCAAGAAAATATTGATAGAAACCATGGTATTCATAACTATCATTGTGATCTACCATTAGATAGACACCTGAACCCAGATATAAGGACTTGCTATATAATAAACTTTTGTAGTAGACATAAGTATTTTGAAAAAGGGTGTTCTCTCTCTCTA